CAAAGTATTTATGTATTCTAATAAATAAAAATGATACTATACTATGTGTAAAAATTACTTTCAGAGAATGGCAGCTCCTATCTAATGCGTTAGTAACATTTTAATTTAGCAAAATTGTTTAAACCGTCATATTGAACCCACTAAACAAAATTTCCAAATGAACAGCACCTTTGCTAATTTCAGGAGATAAAAAAAACTAATTTATCACTAGAAAAAGAGAAATGGAAAAGAAAATGGAAATGACCACAGAGCACTGGATTTGCCTCAAGTAATTACTTTTGAATACTATTAATTAAAGACAGTACAGATAATATTATCTATCTCAGTTTAAGAAAATCAGGTTTGGGTCTAATTAGTATGTTCAAACCTGTTGTAAAATTGTGTGGGCGAGACTGACTTTGACCCACAAAGCTCTGCAGACCAGACTAGAGGCACTTGCTTCGTTAATATGCTAATGCGGAAGATCAAATGAAGTTAAAAACACACATTACGACCCATTTCTTTGCTCGCAGTGCTCAAATCTGCAGTGCCCATATGACCTGAGTCCCACAAGGCTTTTTAAAGCCATTCTGTGGAGAGTGGTCTCTATCTTCTCTACCCGCTGGCCTAACAGCATCTTACTCATTCTCTACAAACGAAACACGCTTTTAGATGGATGGAAAGATGGAGAGGAAAAGGAAGCGTTTTGTTGCCAGACCCCCCTCCTCCACCTTTTTTAATGCACAGGTTTTCATACAAGTGCATTTCTGAAAGGCGAGAACATTTTTCCCAGTATTAATAATGCAGCAACGGACAGCCTTACATACATTATATCAGCACACAAATTCTCAAATGATACCTTTCAATAGCTAAAGTATGGAATAACTGAAAGCTGTCACGGCATTAGCTCTGCTGTATAATAATTATAGTTTCTACAGCCTACTTTGTGGTTTTTCATATCGGTCACATAAATTTGCACTGCAAATAGTGAAGTTACTAGTTTATCTACTTATCCTTTCATATAACATATGAATATGGTAATCAACTAGCTACATTTTTGAGTAGCTTGGCCAGCACTGGTCTTTCTCAATGTCCTCTTGAGATCCATTTCAACAACGTCTGAAAGTGCACTAGAAAGAGCTTGAAAAAGATTTGGTTTTGATACTCAAGTCATGTTAATGAGATGGTACAAAATGATGATCATTTGAAGCTGATACCGGGAATACATAAAAACCACTTGGTTTTGTACTTATCTTTATTATTTAATCTGAAGAAGAGGAATGTATGTCTTTCTCATGCTCAATGAGACTTTTAAACCACCAGCTCTGATAATAAGACAAAAGACTCTTATCACAGACTGCGATGACGTGTTTCCACAGTTATTAACGTCATAAATGTAGAAAATATAAGTTTTTTATATTTTCATTTTCAAAAAATGTAATGTACATTTATAACACTATGCTATATTACCATCAAATTGCATATAAAT